TTTGAAAGCGCATCAACTATACGAGTCTCATGCTTCAACTAGAAAAGGGTGCTGGAGAAATCGTCTCTTTACATCTACGCTTGGACTTGTGGTCTGACTGTCCCCTTTCACTCTGACCACACCTTTGCAGGCAATCAGCTGGATCATCGGTATGCCACGCAAGCTTGGATGTGAGTCATTCAGTCACAGTGGTGAGTCAAAGTCGTGACTCGTGAGTGATTCCACGTGCTGCACACCGCCCGGCACAGCAGCCGTGAGCGCAGGCAGGCGAGGCGGCTTTTCAGCATCGCGATTAACATCTCCGCGTCAGCCGCGGATCTCCGGTGGAACGAGGAGCGCGCTGCTGCTTGCTGCACAAATCGGCCGCGGCTGCGCTTTCTCGGTCGTGTTTTCCTTCGTGCAAGCCGAGTCATTCGTGATTTCTATCCGTGTGGATGCGGAGACCGAGAATACCTGTCCTCTTCACCACCACTCACGCTTGCAAGCCTGACCTGAAGGATTGTGTCGAAGAGATCGCATATCGATACGCGGGGCTGAAGCGACGAAGATGGCACCTGTCAGCATCGATGCTGAGCAGCCCGAGAATGGCGCAGCCGTGAAGAAGGCAGAAGTCGCAAAGACAGATACCAAAGTACCTTGTGCAAAACTCGAAGCATCAATGAGCGCGTCAGAAGAGGCAGAGAAGTACTTGAGTCGATTGTCGGCACTGACGATCGAATGGATGAAGAGAGGAGAACAGTCGGACAGTCTGGTCAGCCGATGGGCGTCCAGCTCACAATTGCGCGACAATATGACTCTTGATCTGTCCGAAGAAGCTCAATCTGAAGATGCGCTGTTCGACAATATGCGAAGCATCCTCGACAACAGCATCAACCCTTACACTGGAAGATTTTTAGACAAGCTATACTCCGCTCCTAGACCAATAGGCTTGGCAGCTGAAAACTTGCTCTCGACTCTGAATGCTAACGGGCACGTCATGTCCGCATCTCCCATGCTTTGTCTGGCCGAAGAGACGTGCGTTGCAGGTCTAGCAAAGCTCTGCGGCTGGAATACGGAAGAGGCAGACGGACTCACTATGCCTGGAGGCTCTTCCTCCAACACTTTGGCTGTGCAAACAGCGTTGCAGAACAGGTTTCCAGCTTTCAGAAAGCAAGGGATTCTGGGCATCATGCAGGACTTGATGCGTGAAGGAAGGGAGGTAAATGCTTGTCGACCTTTGCTCTTCACCTCTACTCAGTCCCACTACTCGCTTGACAAAGCTGCGATGGGATGTGGGCTGGGGTTGGAAAGCGTGGTCAAGGTGCCTTGTGATGCTCAGGGCAGGATGGATGTAGCAGCACTGGAAAGGCTCGTCATTGCAGCGAAAGACGGTGATGCTGCACCAGAGCGTAGGGGCGTCCCCTTCTTCGTCAACGCTACCTCGGGCAGTACCGTATTGGGGTCATTCGACAACTTGGAAGCCATCTCTAAGCTCTGCCAAAGGTACCAGCTCTGGCTTCATGTCGATGGAAGCTGGGGAGGTCCCGTTCTCTTCTCTGAAAAGTGGTCCAAATTGATGAGTGGGATCGACAAGTGCGATTCGCTCGCGATCAATCCTCACAAGCTCTTGAACGCGTGAGCACAGCCTTGGCTTTCTTGAACCACTGCCAACGTCCGTTGCTCATAAAGAACATTGACCTTCCTTCGCCTCTTTAACGAGCTTCGTTCAGACCGTTGCAGTGTAGCTTTGCAGTGTTCAAAAGAGGGTCATCACTCGAGGCAAATTCGCTCGACGCTGGTTACCTGTTCCACACCGACTCGCAAGAAGGCATAGAGTTCACCTCCCGATCGCGTCATTTAGCTCGTCGAGAAAATCCAGGCGCCTTGGCGTATGGCTGTGGGAGGAGGGGCGATGCGCTCAAACTGTACTTGCTTTGGAACAGGTACGGTCGAAGAGGGCTGGGCGAGCA